TTATATTTGTTTCGTTTTTATTATACTATTATCGATATCATTATTTTTGGTTTCTTTTATATTCTATATTCAGAAACGCGAAACGCTCTTATTATTATAAAAATGTATAACCACACATACAACGAATAAATTATTTCAAATTTTTGAAATCCCCTTCCTTTATCTTTTTTACTACATATAGATAATAAATAAATTTCTTGTCATCTGTGGCCATCCATTTGATATGATATATTTTTTTTATCCAATGATGTGATATATTTTTTATTATTTAGTAGCCATAAAATTAGTAGTCATTCGACGATTATCCAATATCCGTGTTATACCATCGTGTCATGTTATCTATGTTATGTTAATGTTATCGTTGCGGCGCATCATATTCTGCATTATCAAGGTTTGATTCGGGAGACACGAGACACTTACAACGTAAAGCGCGAACGTATCGGTACCCCCCCCCCCCACCCTCCTGATAAATTGTGCCAGTTATCGGTGGAATTGGTCACTTTTCGATTTGCAGGTTTGTATGCGCGTCCGACGATAGCGGACGAGCGAACGTGTTCATTTTCAGGAGGCGAAGTTTCACCGATGGGCGACTATCTGTCGCACCGCATGTTTCGTATCGATGTTACAACGTAATGGAACTCGTTACACACGTCGGGTTCACGTTGTACTCGTCTTAACGTCATTTCGAACCCGGTCCCGGTATCAGTATCAGAAATTCTTCGCGAATTTCAAGGGACAATACACCGGACGTACCGGATCAATACGGTCGATTGAGAGACAAGTTTTAAAAACAAATAAAGTATAAAGGTCCGCGAAACATTTACGTCTCGTAAATGTAAATTCGTGCAAAATCACGTTAGTCGCCTAGTTTTCTCCTCCAGATTTACGCGATCGGTCGCGTTACTCCAACGTTATCTCGGACGTGTGTAAATGCTCTTCGTCGGCAAATGAGTACGACAATAGAAGTACGAAGTAATACATAATACTCCACGTACTATTAGCTGCGGCAAGCGCGACGATCCCATGAACGACGAGGCCAGTCTTCGTGGCGAATTACCAAACCGGACAGATCTCGTTAGGAACAAGATCGAGTACATGGTGATCTTCTGATATCTCTTCCTCGGGACAATTAACTGAACTCTCCCCTCTCTCTCTCTC